GACTTAATTTAAATAATATATTGTTAATATAATTTATTTTCCAGAATAATAAAAGGATTTAATGTAGAAAATTACATTAAGTGCACTATTTAATAAAATAGCAATATTTTGAAGCAATTACCGACCATTAATTTTTAAGCTACAGTATATAACTTTAAAGAGGCTTTAGTTTGAAGGTGATATATTTACTTACAAAACAAGATTATAAGCCGCGGATGGTTAAAAAATGGTTAAATTCATTAAATCATTTTATATTTGCTATAGACAATCTTATGCCAAAGATTGCATTAATTATACTTATATTTACATTTTTGTTTCATGTGTTGTACCTCAAACTTGATGGCCAGGTACTTTAATAAGGTAACTAAAAGAGATTTAGAAGTGAAAAATCCAGTTTTTTACCACGTTTTCAAAAAAAATTTAATGTTTAGAGGCTTTGAGCGACCTCTAAATATTAAGTTACAGCGTCTGCTCTTCAAGGGTCTTCATTTGAGAGTTCGTAGAACAAATTTAAGGGGAGACTTAAAATCAAATTTTTGACCCAAAAATATTGCCACCCTATTGTGTATAGAGACACACAAAACGCCAATTAAATAATTCCTCCATTTTATAGAGAAAGATTTAATTTAGCGCTTTCAAGTGCATTTTAGTTAATATCCCGTACGCGGAATGTTATCGCGCGCGAGAAACGCGTCCGTTATAAAGTAAAGAAGTTTGATGAAACAGCCATTATACAGGTGTGTACGCAACATCGCCGTCGTTTCGCCACTCTCCGGCGATCAAGGTGACTTTTTACGGCCAGAATATCAAGTACCAAAACCCTTGTTTGCACTGTTTCATCGTCAACGTGACACCCCTTAAATCGACGGATACCTTGAGCGATCTTGTTGTACAGGCCTCATAATATCTCCGATGAATATTGGGACTTGTTTGCACCGTAGAAATACGTCATGTAACGAATTACAATCGTTTGAGTGTCGAATATCCTCGGAATTGCGCCATTATTAACGTCAACAGGTCTGGTTTCGCGCAATACGGAAGTAAACGCAAATCTCTGCAGTGTATTTACATAGCGCTCGATCACCTGCCGCGTTTGCACGTGAACGTTAATTACCGCCGACTGATCAGTGTGCTAATGGTCACTACGGATGTACGACACCCACACTAAATATATCTATCGCGTCAATAAATTAACTGTCGTGTTGCTACGATTGGATTTCCCGTTATATATTTCATCCGGATAATCGAAATTGTACGTGCTTTGTAAAAGGAAAGAGAATTATTTATTTTGTTCGCTTATATACATGCATTGTACATCCATAATATTTCGACTTTTTGTGACATAACTGCGAAGCGTAAATCTCTCTCTCTCTCTCTCTCTCTCTCTCTCTCCCCTCGATCCTTTCTCTTCTCTTCTCTATAAACTCCAAAACTTCGCCGTCTCATCAAAAGAGAATAATACGACGGATGTTATCGGCGGCATTGCGCCGCAGAATCGAACACATCAAATATTTTATAAGATTCCCATTTCCTTCGCTCGAGTACTATTTTATGTTTGATGGGGATAATGGCTTTATAAGATTTCAGAGCGTTTAATCAGCAAATACGCGCACGCGAATAAACCTCAAGCCAATTCTGAAGAGTCAGATTTGTATTTTTCTACGTGCCGGCAATCTAATCATCGGAATTTTCTCCTTCCTACCTTTATCTCCTACGACGTTTCGTCGCTCTTTCTGAACCTCGAGCCCTTGCTCGAGCCGATATCCAATTGAGTCTCTTCGGCGTTCGTTTGGTATCTTCTTCGTAATGAGATTCTTGCTCCGCATGCGAAACGTAGACACCAGCCACGTACCCAGACGTATAAACGATATTTCTCTTTCATGAGTGAGTGAGTGAGACAGACAGAGAGAGAGAGAGAGGGACGCCAGGGAGAAAATTTCATCTATCTAGTCCGCAAAATATCTGCCTTTTGAAGACTCGACACTCTATCGTATATCAATTTTATGAAAAATCATGAATACATTTATATAAAATTACATTTAAATTGATTTCTAAAGATCCTTAAATTAATTTCGCTCCTAGTTTTTCCACCAACACGCGTTTAATACACACGAGACACTCTCGGCCGTATTGTTGAACCGAAAAGCTATTTGTTATCACGTCAAACGACGAGATTTTCGGATTAAGCGTGAGTTACGTGCGGATAAAGGATGTTTTTCTTTCATGAACGAAGGAAAAATATCCCTCCTTCCTCGATATTAGAGCGTGGGCGCCGAAGTCTCGGACAGCAGAAGTTTTCGGGTTTACGGGAAGAGCGATGCGAAACACATTGTGCTGTGTATATCGGTAAATAGGCGTTTACATGTTACACACTTGGTGCCCCGGTGTCGTCGTGTCCTCGTACTTCTGGATTATTTACGAGGCGGATGAGACCTGACTCTCGTAACATTCTGCAGACTCGGATTGCGTGGGACCCTCCATTATTCAACAGGATGGCGTGTTTTAAAATATCGGAACTCTCTTCGTTGATGGATTACTTAATTCACAGCTTTCGAAGAACATTCATCAGCAGGACATGACGTAGGAATTTCCTTCTGGTTATATCGACCTGTGTTTAAACGAAACATAATCGCCTCTCAGAGATCATTTTCTCATCGTTGGTTTCGCTTAGTAAAAAAAATCAGAAGATATTAAAAGTGATTAACAAGATTGTGATTGTATTTTGTATTGCGGTCGCATCAAGCAGTCAGTAACTTAATAACAGCTGTAATCCATGCTTAATAAAGAGAGTATTGTTTTTGTAAAATTGTCCATTCGGATTGCTGCAGTAGTAATTGAAAATAATTACAAAATTTTTATTTGCTTCAATAAACGAATAAATAACTGTTGCACTTTATTAATAATATCGCGAATATTCTGGTATTACATATACCTTTCATTACGCTTGTACGGCCAGTCAATTGGGATCTCGTGCCGCTTTTCGAATTTTCCACGATGAGGTGAGTGCAGCCGACAGTGACATAACGTGATTATTATACAAAGGCGATACGCTATTGGGCGTAAAAAGAAAATTGATATTTCCGTTTTATTGAGTTTCCCAGATTTGGCGAGTCGATCATCGAGCTTCCTCCGTTTCTTTATTTGATTGTAATTAGCGCGGTATCTCTTTAACGCAAAGTATTTCTCATCTTTCCTAATTAATTATACAATTTTTATTAATCAGAATTGGTCTGAGCTCCATGAGAAATGGGCAGATTATCGTTCAAATGTTGTGCCTCCATCTCTCATTGTTTCCAGACATCGCGTTTCCACTCTTTCCAAGATTCCCCAGTAGTAACAGCCGTCGCGGTCAGACGAAGGTAGTAGTTACCTACGTCCGATCAGACAGTTATCCAATTCGCCATTCCTCGCTAAAGCAAAGGCATGATATATGGTTTTTTTTTTATATCTTTATTTTTTATACGGTACATTACATAATTAAATTGTAAGATACGAGAGAGTTTTTTCATACAAAACAAATTATTTTCCCCTTTCTTCCTTTTATCTTCTTTTAGTACTTATCATTCTGATAATATGCTGTCGAATTGTTCGAGCATATTTGGAGGAATTTTAAAGGTAAACAAAAAAAAGTAGATAAAAGCATAAGTAAGCGATGATATTTATTTTTATATGTCACGTTATAACGATTTTATATAATGTGCAATATTTTATTCAATTCGTGTCGAGAGAGATGCTAAGCGTTTAAAATAAACTGGATTACCCCATTCTTAAAATAAGCATATTGACTACATATAAGCGCATTGAGCTACATATGTGTATTCGTGATAAGCATCATCCCACACAGGGCCACCGCTATGACGTACACGTAACGCCCTTGGGTAAAAATTCAATTTAATAATCTCCAAAAAAAGGGATTAACATTTTTAAAGCTAAACGAGATACATTGGATATTTTAAGATTGAAAAACAAAGGATCGCGTTTAAACGACAAACTGCAATACTGCGACGTTTGTCCGAAGTCCTTGAATCCGCGGCGCAGAATAAAGTACGTCGTAAAATGTAACCGCAGCTTCTCGTAGCCGTCTTAAGATCGAATACATTTTCGCTACTCCGACGAAGTTTTCTCTGCCCTTCGGCCTTACTTCCCTCGTCTTCGCTACTTTCGCGTGTCAAGGCTCTCTCATATCCTGTTCTCCACCCCGTTTCCCTTGTCCGTCATCTCTCGATCTTTCCCTACCTCCTCGCGCGCCTCACGCGTCTCACCGCGATGCAGCCACCGCGCAGCAACAGCATCAGGGGTAGTACGTATCCACGTTTTGCGCGACCGACTTTAACCACCGGAGTACGCGCAGGCGTTACGCCGTCGTCGCCGGGCGAGAGAAACGGGGAACGCTCGGGGATACGGAATCCTAGCAAATCAATACGGCAATGTCCGCCGGTAACCAGGCAGTCGGGGCTCATCCTTCGCGAGAAACGTATCGGAAGTCTCCACGCGCACGCTCAGTTACGCTCTAGGCAATACTGATTAGAACAGTCCATTGAATCTTGGCTGTCTTCGTCTCTTCGTCATCGTCGCCGTCGTGGATTGCATCGATTCCCCGGTTTCTCTAGTTCCTCCCGAATTCCAGCTTCACGAGGTGAAGTGCGCCGACTGGAAGGAGAGACCTACAGCATCGTCGTACTTGAAGAAAACGGCTGCCAATAGCCCTCTTGGATAACTGACCTTGTGCAACAGCGCGAACGCCTCATCCGCTTTCGAGAAAAGGAGCTACTTGAGCAATTTCGTGACAAGGATCCTACAGATTCAAGTTTCCTCGCGACAGCTCCTTGATTTACGATTAGAGAGATACGCATATCTTGGAGCGCGTACGGGTCGTCTCGGGTCGTTTCGCATACGTCGTAGAGGGTACTACGCATATACCGAGAGGTCAGACAAGCCGAGGCCGAGTGGAGATCAGACGGTCTCGCGAGCCTCAGCGGAGCACAGCCACTGATCGTTATTATCACCAGCACCTAGGAAGACAGTCAAATCCCATCCCGGTACCACGTTCGAATTAGTAGGCATTCGCCAGGCCGCCAGGCTACTACGACGTCTGGTAGGCGCGAGTGATCGGTCCTTCCGCACGGATTTACCGAAACACCCCCAAAACGGCAACCCGTCGTCGTCGTGGTGCTGCCGGGGCCCCGCCGTTAGCCGCGAGAGATCGCGAGAAGGGAGCTTGGGGAGATCGGCGGGAGGATCGGCCTGTTCGTACGCGACCAGCACCGGCCCCTGGTACGCCGCTTGCTGGCGGCCCAGTGAGATGGAAGAGAAGTCCTCTGCCCGATTCTCCGAATATCTGTTCGCCAAGATGGGCGGGCAGGACGTCTCGGCCTCTCAGGGTCCCCGCAAGGTGACCGCCGACACCAGAAAGTGGATGCGAGAGAACCTGCTGCTCCTGGTCACCCTATCCGGCGTACTCTTTGGCATGATTCTCGGTGAGCGACGGAAATGCTTATTTGTTCCTTATTACATGTACTGACACTACCTTTGAAAATTGGAGCATTTGGAGAAGTTGCGAAAAATCTTTGATTCAAAATATATTTACTTTAAGAAGAAACATTACTTCGCTGCATTTAAAAAAGAAGAAAATACTTCAGGACAATTAATAGCACTTGATTTTGTATTACATTGTACACTAAATTACTGTTTGCGTGTGTTGCTGATGTTGAAAGACACAATGAATCAAATATGAATTAAATGGAAAATAATAACTGTGCGATGTAAAATGTTTATCGCGCGAATCATCAATCGCATCGCGTTTCATTATTTCGTTTCTTTACATGTCAGTTGTAAATTATGACCGCCATTTGCGATAGTTATCATACGTACAATCTGTTTAGCAGCTCTATATGGGACTAATTCCATATTATCTAGATTTTAATCTCTTCAACGCAACAGCAATCCTTCAGTCGGCGATTCTTCTTCTGTCACATCAACGACTGACTGCCCTTTCTTAATGTCGCTTTTTACGCTCATACAAAGATCTTGTATGACGATAAATTCGTACAAATTAGTCGATCAGAAAACTAAATTAATGGCTTTTACAAACGTACGCTAGATTTTTTACTCCGTAATAAAAACTAAGTACACGCGTGGATCAAATGAATGCCTGTAACACGTCAAACGTTTGTAGAATTAGTAATGGTGAACAGTGACACGATAAAAAAAACGTTTTATGCTTGTAATGTAATACGAGTGAGCTTTCGCTCATAGATCGATTTTACACGTATACCTCGAACGACCCAGTTCGAAATTATCATTCCAATTACGTAAAAATAAGCAACACCTTTTATCTCGTTAAAAGTTGCTGTTCATCGACGTAGGGTTTCCTTAAAAAATTTCATTATGTCGATTCAATCTCGAAGCCAATTTAATAGAGATCATATTTTCATTTCATTGCAACATGGCGTATTGTGTATAAATATTATATCATGAATATATCATTTGATTTATCCGCAAATGTTAATAAACGTTGAATCACATTTAATTAAGTGAAAATCGATTTTATTATTTTACGCTGTACGTCAGAGAAATGAAGCGATTTCATTTAATTGTAACTGAAGGTATAACACGAAAAACATTTTATTAAACCGTTTAATTACTTGATAAATCTGTACATTTGATGTAGGCACATAAGAATAAATTTAACGATGAGCAAAATATTAATAGGACGATCAGGTGGGTGTTACATCTGCACAAAATTCCATTTCCAGCTTCGGTATAGCTGATACGGCGGACATACAGCGTCCATAGATATTTTACTATAAGTGGAAACGTTGATAGCATTGTAATAATTTATACGATGCCGCTCGATAGATCAGTCTACATCAAAGCTTTCATTCATATCCTTCCTTATTCAAAGATAAAAGATTCAAGGTTACACGTCAGTCTCTACATTGTCAATTTCTTTCGTTTTCCTATTTTGTTCACAAATGTTGACGGAACCTATTCTCCACACAATCGTCCGTCGCGATAAATGATTCATTTGGAAAGACACGTATACGCGTTATGGCCTTTAGCAGGACGTAGATAGCTTATGCAACTAATCTCGCATTATCCGGTAGAAAAGAAATCGCTCAAACCTTCACCTTTTCGTCAACCGCGACGCCCTTTCTTCGCGATCGGATAACAAGCTAATTGACTGTAATAAATTTAAATATAGTTCAAGGGCAAGCGTCCCGTAAAAAATTCTTAAATGTTTTATACGAGAAAATGGGAAAAATACAGATTTCGTGGCGCAGAATCGCGAGTCAATTTAATAATATCTCCTCGCAGGGTTTGGCTTGCGACCTCTGGACCTTGGGGACGACGCGGTGATGCTAATCAGTTATCCGGGAGAGCTTTTCATGAGATTGTTAAAGCTAATGATTTTACCTCTGGTAATCGCTAGCCTCATATCAGGTGAGCTTTCTCTTTCAGATTGTCCCACGCACCTATAGTAAAGTAAAGGATACGTCGAATGTATCTTAATTATTTTTACGTATATCAGGTTCAGCGAGCTTAAACGCCAGGATGAACGGGATGATCGCCGTTCGGACTTTGGTATACTTCATACTGACGTCCTTGCTCAACGCCGTGCTCGGCGTGGCCCTAGTCCTCCTTATTCATCCCGGTAATCCCGGCATCAGGGAATCGATCGGCCCTTCGCATCACGCGAGAGCCGTTAACATATTAGACAGCCTGCTCGACCTGGGAAGGTAAATTATGTCTGCGATATCTCTCATCGCCCGATATCGATTCTGTCAATATCAATAATGTACGTAGACTCACTTGGAAGTTTTCCTATTGAAAACGGAGATAATCGAGTGTGAAGGTCAATGAAGGTATATGAAACGGTGGGAAAATAATGTTAATCAATTCCGATGTGTTTGCTTTCGAATTGCGTTTAAGTAATTTTCGCAGTTAGAAAATTGTCGAACTATATATTTTCGCTGCTTTCGAGTCTCCCGACAAAAATAGGTCAGTCGCTTCCGCTGCGGCGTATTCCATTGCGAAAATTTTGAGAAATGTGCTTGACAATGATAACGTGACATTGAAATAATATCGATCCGCGTGATACTCCTCTTTACTCCGCCGTTGCTGAATCATCGCGGTAACATAGTTATCTAATTGTAAGTCGGATTAAGGTCGTGGCATTTCACGAGCCGTAAACTCCACTAAACGAAATTCATCGTGATCGCGGATACTATTCGTCGAGACGAAAATAGTTCATCGATCGTGCGTATTTTATTCACGCGAGGCGCATTCAAAAAACTACTCCGTTTAAAAGTCGCGCAATGCTCAGCACGATTCTCCGAACATTGTATTAAAATCTAGATATCGCGGCTCGGGTTATCGGAAACCATTTAACAATTGTTTCGCTCCAGCGACGCAACGTAAGATCGTTTTTATTGAAAAGTCGCCAGAGCTTGTGCCGCGACTTAATCAATGTGGTAACGACTATGAATATAACGAAGGCCGCGGGAAAGGCGTTATTTTTAAAATATACAGCCTTGTCTCGTGTAGTACACAGAAGATATTGTCTACACTTATTTAATGTATTCAGTAATATTTGAAATATGTACAATTTTATGTTGATGTTTCGCAGGAACATGTTTCCGGACAATTTGTTTCAAGCAGCTTTCCAACAAGTAAGGATACGCCTCATTCTTATGATATAAAATAAAATTGAAATAAAATTGACTCGATATTAAATAACGATGTTATTATAGGCGCACACGGTGTACGTCCCGAAAAAGCAACCTTTCCAAAACGTTACCGACCAGTTACCAACGGCAGTCCTGGGAGACGAGGAATTGATAAGAGTGGTACAGTACAGAAGCGGCACGAATACTCTGGGTATAGTTTTCTTCTGCCTGGTCTTCGGTACGTTCTTGGGAACGCTCGGTGAGAAAGGTCAGGTCGTCATAGACTTCTTTAAGGCTGTGTTCGAGGTCATCATGCGAATGGTCTCGACCGTCATGTGGTGAGTGTGCCCCTGAGAATTAGAAACGACGCTTTATGATTTCACGTCGCTTTGTAACGCAGCAGAATGGAAAATATCTTGCTTCCAGGATGACACCAATCGGCATCACCTCCGTAATAGCGGGCAAAATACTCGGCGTGGATGACCTGGTGCTGGTGATGTCGCAGCTGGCGTGGTTCATCGTCACGATCGCGATCGGTGTCTTTTTCTATCAGCTGGTGATCATGCAGCTGATATATGCGGCCTTCGTTAGAAAGAACCCCTTTAAATTCTACGCCGGCCTGGCCCAGGGTACCCTCACCGCCTTCGCCATGGCATCAACGTGAGTCGTCGATCTTCGAACCCGAGCCCGACCTTGAGAGAATCCATTTCGCCTGCCTCACAGGGCCTCGGTCAACGTTGTGATCGTATTTTCTGACACCTCGTAGCATCCGTCCCTCTCATCGGTTATCTCCCGCCGACATTCCGTCTCCTTCCTTTCATTTCTTTTATTTCTTGTCACGCGGACCTTTCTATGCTTACGCGAAATGGAGCTGGTCTGTCGCGCGATTGATAGTGCGAGTAGTTGATGTCAAAACATTTTGACGCCGTAAAACGAAATAGACAATGAGTGATACGTGATCGATGAAAGACGTATATATTGATCGAATCGATTGATGGAGACAATATGTTTCAGCCAGCTGTGTGGAGGCTTTGCGAGGCCACAATCCCGATATCCCTTTCCAAGTTATTTAAGCCAGCTTTACATAACTTTCGGCAAAATTGCTTCATATAATCTTCTTGCTTAGTTTCTATATATATATAAATATATATAACACAAAAAATAAAAAAATCACGTTGTGGAAGAGCTGGCCAATTCCTGAATTATCCTGTTAGTCTTTCCTCCATACGTGACAATCTCTTTTAATGTTTGCTTGCGAGGAGAGCTCGCCATGCCACATGAGAAAGAGAAAAAGAGGGAAAGAGGTATGCAGTTCCGGGTAGCACTTAGAATGCTGATACTGCCGGTTCCCGACCACCAAGCCAATACGAACTTCCGAAAGCTCGTAACTAGATTGTTACGGTGTTACGCAAACGGAATTTCGTCGTCGCGCAAAAAAAAATAACGTATTATCACCGCAAATGAGAAATTAGAAGATGACATTCGAGATACGGCTGCGTTATTCGCGAAAATTGAAACTATATCGACGAAACGATATTGCCCAAACCGGCGATCTGCTGACTCCGTGTTACCTGGACTGATTCGCGGCGTGGAAGTCTTCTAAGGATTCCCACAATCGGTATCTTCGAGCTCTTTCCTCGCCGATAGCGAGAAAGAGGAAGAAGAAACCGAGCCAAAGGAGACTTCCACGCCAAATTATATGATTAATTTTAAGTACGTCGTTCTTTAACAATGGATTTGGCGGAACTGAAAAAATATTGGTTGCTTGTGCCGAGCTCGCTCTTGCAGGTACGACGAGGATGTCGATGACCGGCTGTACGACGTCCTGAACGACGGCTGTACGACGTCCTGAACGACGTGCGATTATTTGTTTCTCTTGAAATAATTCATTTTTGAGAGTCACGCAAAGCAACGATCATTTTTTCAGTTCGCACTTACGAATCGAATTCAGTTTGCACCTCTGAGATCCTTCCTTTCTTTCTTTCACCCAGCAGTCCAACATACGTCTGATACACACGAAATAAAAATTACCCTCACCCCATCCCGATTACTCCTATTTCCCGAACATCCCCACACCCCCTTTCACCTTTCCCACCTGGTATTATTGTTTTTAGCAGTGCTCAATATTGTTTATGATCCACCTAGGTCTTATACGGTTGTATCTAACTCAATCTGTTTTCTCTGTGGATTAACTGTTTCCAGAAGAGAGCGTACAACTGTGCGTACACTGTGACTGACTGAGAAACTGTTCTCAGTGTATCTGAACAGAGACTGTATGAATATCATGATGATGTATTAGAACACGCACTGCACGCGGCCTTTTGCAGGTGGTTTTGACTCTGAGAGACCGAGGGTAGCGCTTGGTAAGTAATTGATGGCCGCAACATGAAGGTACCATACGATTGTCTGTTATAGGATCCATGGGCGGATGACACGCGGTCTACCGGCGATCCTTGGCGAATTGTGATCTAAGCTAATCCCAATTGATTTTCAGGTTGTTCTCACGGTCATTCTGGCAGTTGTTCTGGCACTCTTTCTACTATCCGCAGTTAATAATGCGCCGATGTTAATTCCGAGTATTCTTCCTTCGTTCGTATACCGTTTTTTCTGCGATTCCCTATACATATTCGTTCTGTTTCGATTCAAGCCTTGGTCGGTTACGTCTCTGAGAGAAACTATCGATAAATAAACCGCCGCTATATATCTATCCCGTAAGTTTACGCCAGAATGACCACCAGGACTTGCAGCGACAGCCGACGCGGAGCGAATCTTTCTACCATCAACGGAAGAGTGCTTTGCCCGATTTTTGCTAACGCAGGTTTGTACAGGGCTGCTGCACTTCCTGTGACTTTTCGTCTGATGACCGAGAAGCTCAGAGTCGACCCTAGAGTCACCAGATTCGTTCTGCCGATCGGTTGCAATATCAACATGGATGGTACCGCACTCTTCGTCGCCGTCGCCAGCATATTCATCGCCCAGATGAACGGTATCTACCTGGGCTTCGGAGAGATCATCACAGTTATGTAAGTCTTCTTTGCCTCCCAATGAGTTACTTTGCCGAATCAACCCCGAAAAATTTTATTCAATCATATTTTATTTGCCGCTACTTTGTTTTATTTTTTTATTATTATCTCGTTTTGCAAAGTCTGACGTCCACCGCTGCTTCCGTCTCGTCGGCCTCGGTACCAAGCGCTGCGCTCGTCCTGCTGTTGGTCGTCCTAAGCGCCATTGATGCTCCTGTTAATGACGTTTCTCTTCTATTCGCGATCGACTGGTTTGTGTGAGTGTCAGATAAAATATTTTTTTACTTATAATATATCCTATTCTTACGATACACATTACAATGTTGCAAGATATAAAGTATTTCGTCACGCTAAGTATCATTTTGGAGAATTATAGTAGAAGGAATATTATATATATTATAAACTTCTTAAAACAATTTTTTACAATCAACGAAATATTTTAAATAAAGAATGCTACAACAACAATTATATATGCAATATAAATAGAATATAGAAGAATGCAAATGTATTATTATACATGTAATTGTTAACACGGATATAATTTTATCGATTAGGGATCGGATAAGGACCACCAATAACATGCTAGGAGATTGTTACGCCGCTGCAGTTGTCGAACAGCTCTCGAAAAAGGAACTGATGGCACTGGACGCAGCAGCTTACCAAGTAAAATAGACAAATTATAATTAATTATGTACTAAAATTAGAAAAACATGTTTAATGTTCACTCGATAATTCATCCCATTTGCTTCTACGTGTGAAACGCGGTTCCTTATTTTCACGCTGGCATACCATAACAATGCGCGACAATTTAATTTTAGTCGGAGACTGTGCTGCCAACCACTATCGCCAATGGATGTCTTACCGCTAACAGGGTACCTGATCCTGACACCGTCGTCGTTGAGATGCAAGACGACGCGCGGATAACGGGGATCGCCAAGTAAACACGCTTGTTGGTAGGGCTAGGCTATCACTTTGTACGGTCATTTTAAGATCATGTCGATTCATTAAATGGACATCGCTTTGCGAATCGCTAATTTGTCTGCCGATTAGCAAATAGAGACTTGACGGGGAAAAAATGAAGATCATCAAAGCTATAGCTAAGCTTCGTAAAGCTTATCCTCATTTCACTCATTAGATCTCTCTCATCATAAAAGTAATATTAGGCAAATGGGGCAACTGTGTATTTTTTCCGTGTCAAGTCTTCAAGTGTTGAGCGACGAGAGGATCCTACAAACCGTTCTCCTTTTTTTCAGCTTCGGAATAATGCACATGTCGAGAAGTGTGACGGAAGAGACCGTTTGACTAACGGTTAGCCCCGCGAAATAATTTAAAGAGTCGCAGAATCTTATTAGCAAGCAAATCGACTATGCCGTCTGTTTGAATTGTTCAACGAGGATCAAAAACGTACTCTGCGCCAAAGGCGTGTTCAGTTCCTCTATTTCTCATTGTTTTAAACAATCCTCGAAGTTTCATAGAGATCTTCCGCAAGGAGTTCTACACCAACGAGACAAGGGGGTTCTCGCGAAAAACATGGTCGCCAATGAAGACACGAAGATATATTCAGCAGTCAATAAGAATGGAGCACGTGTTTTTATGTGATGCAGGCACAGCAATAAGAATGAATTGATAGACGTACACTGAAATTACGAATCGAGGCTTCCAAAGACTCGAGGACAGCGCATTTTATCGCCACGACGGTAATAATTACGCTCGATGTTGTACAGGCAAAAAGTCGGGATTATAAGTCGTTCAACGACCCCCGGAGGGATCAGGCTGGATTAGTAAGACGTTAATCCGATTGACCGACTCACATTCGAATAAACGACAGATGACGATCGTAGATTAAAGACTCGCCCCTAGCGAAACCCCGGAGGTGGATCAATTCGATCGTCCACCTCCGTCAAGAATCTGGCGATCGTTTCTACGATCGATCGTGTAAACAGCGTCGAATGTGGTGCCTTATTTCGATATGCGCCAACCAGGCAGGCGCGATGAAAGTAAAATGTCGCCTGAGTTCTCTTTTCTTTTTCGGGTGTATAGCGCGCGTTCGTCGCGCGTAAGTGTAGATGCCGATTCCAAATACCTGACGCTTCTCGATGTGACTTAGAACATCCTGGCTCCGAATCCGGGGATTGAGCATTGACTGTCATTAGTGACGCGACGAATATAGCTATTCTATCGGAGACAAAGAAATTTTTTACGGTATTGGGGGGGGGGGAGGGAGCTTGATGTGATAACTGTGTTATAGGTAGCTATGTGCATACTACACATATCTAGGATAAAACAAATACGTTTTAATTGCCCTACAATGTTATTACTAGAATACAGTTTAGAATACTACACTTTAAAGACACCGCTCGTTTCGCGTATCGCGGGTCAATCACGTCACTGATCACAATTCGAATCAAGGGAGGGGGGAGGAGAGAAATTAAGAAAAGTACACAACACAATATATACGTATACTACGTGTCCAGCGGAGATTAATACAAATTCCACGCTGAAGATACAGCAAAGAAGACTTACAAGCGGGTAGAACTTTAAATAGATTTTAAAAGTCATATCGATCTATAACTATCGGACCATTTAATTGACGGAAACTGGTGTATAGAACCTTCCTATGTGTTCTGCTTTTGAAAGACGAGTGTTTTTGCGAGAGAGTGCTTGTCGAGACAGAAGTCGAAACCCTGGACGTGTATTTCGTTTAAAATCGGAGATAACGCTTTATACTCATTTCAGCGAGCTATCTCCAATTTCCAAAAAGAAAATTTCTCTTTCACAAACTGGGAACAAAAGATATTTGAATCTTTCAATATAACGTTGATTTCTATTAATTACAATTACGTCCAAGATTCTATCTCGTTGCACTCTTCTTCGATTAGTGCTCCCTGCCGTAGAATATAACGTACCTTCCAATATAATGTTGTCCAGACCGTAGCTTAGAATAAACAAGTTCGTGTTTTTCAACCGTACGTGGAAGATCATACTAATTCTTCTATGAATGACAAAGAAAACGGAACATTTAAATCGCGCAGCTCATTGTGAGCGCCAACAAGACTGGATATACCATATGATAATACCGTTTTTTGCTAGACGTAATAATGGGTAAACGATTCCTACATGGTTTCGCTAATACTAGGCACTAGATAGGTATTAGGTCGATACGTGTTTTATCGTAGAGACTGTTTAAATGTACAAACTGTTCGAGTACATATATAGTATTATTATTTTTTGGGATTATTAATGTTTATTTATTCATATCAATTTTACAGCGCGTTAGAAATTAATTTCTTTGGAATAAATAATATCATTTTGTGCACGCATTTATTGCGAGAGGATCAATTTCTGTTGTTAAAAATGAGCCAACTAAAAAGTAAATGCAAAATCGGATTCTTTTAATTTGAATATTCAAAGCAAGCATTCCGTAAAGATACTTAGAAATTAAACATTGTAAATGGTATTTAATATATTTTGCCATAAACATCGAAATGGCATATCAAAATGGTTAACGAAAATAAATAATAGAGGGGGATTATAAAGTAGATTGGAATTTATAAAAATAGAAAAGCTTGCTAATTATAATTAATAAATTATTTTCTTTTTAGTTTAATTATGATATGTTAATTTTGTTAATTACAATTATTTCATTTCGTTTAAAATATCTCGTTCTTTCAAGTGATATATCGGGTGCTCCTGTTACTCGGCGCGTTTTATGCTCAAGCATTGAAAGATGAGGGATACTACGTAGTGTGGCTACGGGAGTAAAACGAGCGGAGGAAACATGGAATAAACTTATCAAAATAATCCGAAGAATACGTGTATACTTGTAAGGCTCAACGTGTTGTATAACAAAAAGCGAATTTATACGTGGAAACATTTGGTCTTCTTCATTATATTCATTAACAATCCTTGTCGCTTTCCCTCTTCCTGATTTCCTGTTAGATAATATATTTCAAATGACAAATCAAAATTAGTAATTAAATCAATTATTTAAGGGAGATGTTGGAATGTGATAGAAAAAAATAACAATCTCCTAAAAAATTCATTTATTTAAGGCCCACGTCGCAGTAAGGCCCTCAGCTCGGAAGTCTTTGTACAGAGAACAATTTATACAAAATATGACATATATTTGTATATATATATATATATATATATATATATATATATATATATATATATATACAATAATCAGTGCGTATGTATATATGTATCGGGCTGAGATTCCATCCCCCGTTACATCGAAATCGCGCTCGGGGGACAGGGACGAAGTAACAATTAAATCAACGAACGTTATATTATGGATGCCTTTAGAGATGCGCCGTCACGAAATCCAGTGTGTGATCAGTTCGCTCGTGATAGCGCGTTTTCGTTATCAACTCGGATGATAGCGCCATGTTCGTCGTAGTATCGACCGATTCGACATATATAAAATTAGATTTACTGTACACATTCACGCGGAGTGGGCTCGATGAGCACGGCGCGATCATCCGGCTTCCGGTTTTTACATAAAGACAGTCTATCTTTTTTGATTATGACAACATCGTCGTTTATTTTCATGGATTATTATTTACAATGCTACTTAATGACTAAACGCCGTCGCAGCCGGCGGATATTTACAATATTCCGTTCAGAAAGTACTTGCTTTCAGTTAGCTATCGATCGGAACGAAGAACGCGTCCGTGTTACATAGCAGATACGGAATTGTCAAGGCGCAATCGCCGCTTTCTCGCTTTCTGTTTCACTCACAGTCGCTCGTACCGCTCCTCGCGGTGAATCGAAACTATAAAGTTTATATAATTAATAACTAACAATTAATTGCGGGAAGGTAGCGTTTGCGCGTGACGGGGAAAACGATTTGGCCACGATTTCTCTCGGTGGCCGATCAAATTGAAATTACTAAATTAAAATCACTTGTTAATACCACACCTGCGGATTACGTTGTTCGCACAGTCTGAGAGAGCAATATACATATATTCATTGATCAATCGCATTTCAACAACGTATATATTAACAGAAATATTATTCGCGTTATACGTGACACTGCGTATAATATCGTATCCGATATCGCTTTCCCGACGCGAGTCATCACTGGATTAACACTAAAACTTGTACGCGAAGTATACCGGATTAAAATCGGGATATCCTCAGATCCTCAGTTCGCCGTCAGCAACAGGAATCACTCGGTTGGCACTTTGACTGGATCTCTGGGTGGCGGGTGGTACGAGAGGGCTGATGCTGGGACTTCTCGTAGCCAAGGGTGATAACGAGGGAGAGAAACTTGGACTCAGTGCGGCGGAAGGGAAGGTGGAGGCATCATGACTGATCGGCGACCTCGGTAGAATTCCTCTCGCTAGCGCGGGTGCCGCCAGCGATCTTGGAGCGACGGACGTGAGCAACGGCGGCGGTGGTGCTTTATGTACAGACTTGGTCTTGCCGCTACTGCCGGAATTTCCACTTTGAACGCTGGCGGCGTCGTCCTTTAGCCTAGCAATCTCGCTGAATACATGAGCCAGCGGTTGATACTGGGGTCCCCAGTCTAATAAATAGTCCCAATTGTACGAGCCAGTGAGCTCCTCCTCGCTGTGCACGATTGAGCTCAAAGAACCATTCATTGACGGTCCACCTGGTACTTCCAAACCAGAAGTGGCTCGTCCGGGTTCCCCAATCTTACCATAGATCAACGTCGCTATATCCGCCTCGGTGCTCGCTTCATCCTCAAACAGATGCAAACTGTCCAGGGGCAGAGCCTCGGGAGGTCTCCTAGGTGTGCCAGCTGGAGGATCCACGATGCCCAATCTAGCTAAATATTCCTGAGTATTGTGAACCGAAAGGTCGCTCGCGGAATCACCAGTCTGCTGGCCCTCGTTGATCATTCTGATCTCCTCGTCGTCTCCATCGTCCTCGGCGGAGCCTCTGCCGGAAGAACCCGATTGATCGCTTCCGGAAAGCTCGGACGTAGCTTGCTGCTGCCCAGATTGACTGGATGTTCCATAAGGAGGTATTTCGTCGTACTTCGGAGGGGCAAACTGGCAAGACGTGCCGCCACCCGCTCCCCCGGCACTTGCGGAACTACCGTTTCCGCTCGCTCCGACTCCGGTCACGCTTCTGATTGGGATCGTATCAAACGCGCTCGGGTCCACGTAGCTATTTGACGCGGTAGCGTTGCTCTCGCCGTTCAGACCTGGTTTCGTGCCGGGCTTTTTGTGACGGCGATTACGAATGTGAAGGTAGAGAAAGATGGCACCAAACGCGAGAATGAGAAGAAGAAGAGCGATCAGCAGACCCAGGACCCAATCAGCCAAGCCACCCGAAGTGGCCACGGCCATATTCGAACCAATGTCCGTCGGCGTCGCTAGAGCGGTAGCTCCTCTAGCTCCGTTCAGCTCGTTATCGTCCATCGGCGTAATTTCCACCACCGTCCGGTTAGACAGAGAACCCTGCCTACCGGAACTCGCGTTGATCACTAATCTGAACAATTCGTTGTGTATATATTTCTGTTTCACGATCAACGCACCGGTCGTGCGATTCAATTTAAGATAAGAATGCTGAGATGTTAACTGATACACGACCCGGCCATCGGGCCCCTTGTCGCGATCGGTCGCCGTCACGTGACCAATTACCATGCCAGGCAACATTTGAGCTCTGCTCCTTATTCCGAATCGGTACATCTTTTCGGTGAACTGTGGATGGAATTCGTCTCTCGAGTCAATCTCCACTCTGACACGCACCGCCGCGGTACGGTCGCCCGCGTCCGTGGCGCGCAATGTAAAAGCGTACCGATTCCGTTGCTCGTAATCGAATACGGTGCGAGTGATGACGGTACCCGATTCGTCGACCGCGAACAGCTTCCAACTGTCGTCAATATCGGAGAATCCGCTGGCGGCGGCGGACACAATGGAGTAGTTCAACGATCCAAAGATGCCGCGATCCAGATCCGAGGCACGCGCAGAGAAAACAGTCGTGCCGATCGGCTCGTTCTCACCGACAAACTCAAGATACTCGGAAACCGGGAACTTGGGCGAATTGTCGTTCACGTCTTCCAGATGAACGCGAAGTCTGGCGAGCGCACAGAGAGGCAAAATCGGATCGCTGTCGCAGACCATCACCACGAGATTGTAGACCTCGGGCTCGAGATCGCAGTCGAGCGTGGAGTTCACCAAGACCGCGCCGGTCATCTTCTCGACGCGGAAGAGACCGCCGTCATTTCCCGAAGTGATGTCGTACACCAACGTGGCCGCCGGGCTGTTAGCCAAGTCGTCGTCCTTGGCGTGCAGGACATCAACGGTCGTTCCACGTGGAGCGTCTTCCTTGATGGATACTTGATGGAGCTCTTCCAGGAAATGCGGATAATTGTCGTTGACATCCTCCACGATAATAGTTACTATTATTGGCTCGTCTCCCAACAGCGAGCCTGTCGTCGTGTTTTCGATCTTGCTGCCCAATTGCAGCATGTACCTGGAAAATCAAATAACTTGAGAGATTGTCTAGATTTTGTAAAATAAAGCGAGTGGAAGCAAAATGCTAAGAAACGATTAAACCAGGATTTAAGGCTCCTGGGTAGTCACCGCGGCCATATTGAATTTCTTGCTATCGAGGCGAGAAATTACCCTATTTTAGGTTGCGGTAAATTCCAAAATAAAAAGACATTTCAATAAAAAATCACTATAGATCGTTTCAGCACACTTCTAAAATTTAACGGATACTATCGACAATAAACAAACAGCCATAAAACGAAGCCTAAACATACGGAAAAACAAGCCGTTTGACGACTGTCGAAAGGAGTGGAGAATATTCCTTCCGCTATATATTTCTTGCAAATCTTACCATACGTTAAATTTTACGAGTTTCACGAATACGTTAAACGTTATAGCACAAGTACAGAGCGAATAATAAAGAAATTTAACGCAACGCAAAATAGGTTGTCAACATGTCACAAAGGACAGAATTCTCCATTGGAGAAAGTTCTTATTTCTGCCGCGACGGTACGTCGCCATCGTCAACACAGAGTTCTCAGCTTAGGGACCAGGAGCCTTAACGTAATAAATTATATTTCTATCTGAACCATCGATGCTTACCTGTCTCTCATCTCGCGATCGAGCGTTCTCGAGAGAACCAGCCGATCTCTGGATATCTCAAACGTTCTATCGTCGCCCGCAATGATGCCGCCACCCAGCAGGTCCACGTCGGAAAGCTTCAACAGCGTCGTACCCTTCGGCAAATTTTCCTTCACCATGATCTTATACTCCGGTCCAGGTAGGGTGCTCTTTAAACTGCTAAATCGTACGACCACCGAGCACACCGACGACACCGGGGGCTTGCCGTAGTCCTCCGCGACGATCGCCAAGTCCATCTCCTTCGGTATCGGCCTGGGTATCGCTGTGCGATTAACAGTCAGAACGCCGGTCACGGGATCCACCGAAAATCCCTTCACGGGACGCAGCAGATAATATCGCACTCGACTGTTCTCCTCCGAAAGGTCGTCGTCCGTAGCGTTTACCGTCAGAATTTCCTGCTTGCCTTGCCCTTCTGAAATGAGAGAAAAAAAATCGACACGTTACGCAGCGTGTAATTACATTAACATAAATTCGTACCGCGTGTTTTGTTTTTATATTCCTGGGCGCGAGTAAAGAGAAAGGTATTTGTAGATGCAAAATTATAAAGAGAGCTCATATAACGTCACACGAGACGGCATTCATTAGTGAACGGCAGAGACTCGAGAAGCACTCTCCTGCAAGATCGATTATCGAGTCGTACATTGTACGAGGGACCACTCGACAGGGACGCGGGAGAAAGATCGAGAGATCAGCGGGGCTCAAGAGCTCAAATACTTTCCGTGTCTTCTTGTTGCGGATGCGTCCTCGACCATCGCCGGGCCCCGGGAACCGACATTACGAACACTTTTTTTCGGATGGCGAGCGAGGAAGATAAGCCTTCTTGACATCAGGCCAGGACGGAAGTATGAAATAATAACCAGTTGTATATAAATCGCGCCGCGCGGTGCCCTGGGTAGTCTGGCTCTCGATGGCGCGTTGCGTATACAAAGATCATTTCGATGCGTTTCAAATCGCCGGATAACTCGGCATTAATGCGCCAAGTCGCGGCCTAAAATGCAGAAGGTAGGGGAAGATATAGACCTGTGCGTGGAAGAGGATTCGAAATAAACCTGGAGGATGCGGTTCCCTTCGGGGACCTTGCACCACAGCCGGGAGGAGCGAAAAAAGAAAGAATACGAGGAGGCAGCAAGAAGAACTGTATAATTATCGCGAAGTGTATGACTGCAGTGCATGCACACATTCGCAACACGACATCTTCTCATTGAGATAAATTCCAGCATTTCCAGCAGCGTCAGAATACTCTCTCTTTCTCTTCATCTTTCTCTCTCTCTTTTATTATTTTTAATCCTGCTCTATCGCGCCCAGAATATTTCCATCTTTCTCGATCTCCTAATCTTCGTATCATTGCTCCACCACCACCATGCAGTCATTAACTCCGCCGCGGGACAGGTAATTTGAAAGTCTACATTGTACAGAAAAGTAAAAGTGTATCTGTAGACTAATAGCTCCTGAGTATTTAATTAAAATTTGCGCGATTTTAAGAAAACGCGACGAGAGAAGTTGGCGAGGCCGATCTTCGATCTATCTTGATATTATATCACTTTCACGAACATCTATAATGGTTCCATTAACCGACCAGGCGCTTCATTAACTTTTGCCGAAATCTTCTCCGCTCGATCGAGTCTGCAACTTTCTGTAACCGTCTTGTCGTTCTTCGCCTGTCCCTCCCATGAGGAACGGTACACAGCTTTTCGCGAACATGCGAGACGAAGCGCGGGATGAAGCTGAAAGGGAGAGGATCGAGGATGCAAATTCGCTTTCTCGTGCATGGGAGCTCCCCGCACGAGAATCCTTTCCACGTCCACCGCCTGCCAATCCACCCTCCCAAGTCCCCCGATCGCCCTTACCTCCCGCCGCCCACCCAAACGTGCACCATTAGGCGCGGGCCTATGTATTTTTAATAAGTTTCAAGAGTCCTCTCGAAGCCGGCAAACCCGGCCGGCGCGGGCGCGGCGCGGCGGTTGCCAGTGAAGGCGGCTTTTCGGCTGCCTCGCAAACGGTGTCCTCGCGTTTATTTATGTGCGAGGAGTTCGCAATCCACCTTAGCTCTCCTTCCATCCCCCCCTCCCTCCATCCCGCGTCCCGCGTCCTCGCCAATCCTTGCTTCTCTTCGTCTTTCGTTCTCCACCCTGTCCTGCCGATCTCGCATTCTCTTTCTCTCTCTCTCTCTCTTTCTCTTTATACATATATCTTCTTCCCTTTTACCCCTTTCTCTTTCACTATATCTTTTTCTCTTCCATATTCGAGCAGCTAACTTTTCATCGGTCTTCCTTCTACTAATCTTTCTTTTCTATCTTCTTCTCTCTCTCTCTCTCACTTTCTTCTTCTCTCGTCTCTCCTTTGCGCCTCTCATCCTCGCGCGCTTTATCTCGGCGCGGTGTCAATTCGAGTTTGGAACATGGGCAACAGGACAACGCGTGTCTACTAAAAACCAGTTTTTAAACGCGCGTTTATTTCGCGCCGAGAGGTCCGCCAGTATCTTCCCTCTCCTCCCTCTTCGCTTCATCTCTTTGTACCACTGCTGTTTCGATTTTTTTCGACGGGACACTGACACCGAGATGCATCGTCTAGCGGGGTGACAGAACTCGCGCGACCAATGACAACTTTACGGTACGAACGGTAATGAATCCCGACTGATGGAACCGTAATCTCGACGTGGACTTCTCGCGCGCGCGTGTAAGATATAAAAACAACACGACCACGACGGAACAATACAACGTCAAATGGACCACCAAATAAGATATTCGTCGAAATCATCGAAACTCTCGTAGAATGATTTCGTTCGTTAACGGGCCGTTAACAGACAAGACTTGAATTTTTCAGTGCACAATCTTCGCGGCAAATCGCAAGAGATTTGCGATGCGCTTCGCTTCGAGAACGCCGCAACAAAACGTATATCCGCGAAAAATCTCGTGCCCCGCCGCCGACGTGGCCGCTCGTCTCGCGATTTCATCCCACGCTACCGCTTCGCGGAACAACCGGCGCAATCGCGACGGCGATCGTTCCTCAATAAATCAAAGAATTATGCTCGCTGGAGCGTATGCCACGCGATAACCGACGCGACGATCATCGTTGATCGCGTCCGATCATCGTCAAGAGTTTCGACCGCGGATCCGACGACGATCCGCTATACCTGCCTCCCGTTCGTCGTTCGCGCGCACAGAAAGAGGAGAGCATCTTGTGTGCCCCCGATACGTACCCGAAAGGACAGCCACGTAGACAGCCTGCTCGAATCGCGGCGCGTTGTCGTTGAGATCGGTCACACGAACGGTGAGATCGGTCGTCGCCTCGTGAATTCCGTCGCTGGCGATCACCTGAAGAGTGTACTCGGAACGCGTCTCGGCGTCCAGACGTTTCCGCAGAACAACCTTGCCGCCGTATCGGTCGATGCTGAAGGGTCCCGGATTGGTCACGTTGCCGAATCGATACGTTAACGCCGGCGAACTGTCCACGTCGTTCGCCGTGATAGTCGTCAACACAGTTCCCATGGCGGTGCCTGAAATTGAAAATAATGTCTCTTTAAAAAAAATACTTTTATGCCGACAGAGCGGTATTAACCCGGGAACGGGAACTTCGGGGTAATTTTTACACCCCAGTATCGAAAAAAAATGAAGCTCACTTCACAATAATTTTAATGTATTATATACTTCTTTCGTTTTTTTAAATATTTTTTTCGTTTCTCCTTACTTTTTCAGAAAATGTTGAGTAAATCTATATACATAGAATGTACACTTAAATACTAATAAATTGTAGAACAATATAAAATATACGATATGTATTTAATAACAATGACTTTTAATTGTAAAAATAATCCCAGATGACAGGTGACCATTTATGCAAAAAAAAAAACTCAGGCGTCCTAAATTAAATAAACAAATAAAAATACATTATTTTTATTTATGTCATTGCATAAATAAGAAACGCAATTGCAGCCTCGTAGGAAAATGCACATTCGCGAAGATCTCATTGGTGCAAGTAAATAATTGGATAATTGCAAGCACCACTCTGGAGCATCTGATAGCAACAGAATTAGTAAGATGCGTTTGCGAAAATGAAGAAGACTGTTGGGGATCTCGAGCAGAATGAAGAGCTTTATCGCGTCGCATTGTGGGCCGCGCGGTCGCTACTGACAGATTGTATCCTTATGCATAAAGATGCCTTTGATTTCGTTCTTTTGTCCCCTCATCGCGAAGCCACTTTGTCACCGTGAAACGATCGTGCGCGATACATATATACGCGTAGCCCACGGATCTCATATGGGCGCGCATACTCTCTTCCGCGAAGTTAAAGACACATCAAGGGAGTCGGTGCTTAAAATGCATTGGATCCGTACTATCGAATCGTTTTATCTTGGCCGGTTGCTAAGAAGAAACGGTCGAAACGAATCCGTCCGAAGAAACGGATGAGCCTCTCATACGCGAGAAGGGAAGATCGGAGGCCGTAGCCAGCGCGAAGTAAATTACAATATCGCCCTGTCCGGACGTTGCGCGAGGAAATTGAAAACCGTAACGCGAGAATGATTTCGCGAGCACAAAGGGCGCGCGATATGTGCCCCGCATGACGCAATCACCGCACGCGAAACGCGATTTATCCTCGCGACTGCGAATCTGATCACAATTTGTCCTTAGACGTAAATTTATGCCTTCTCTTAAGATATTAGGAGTTAACGCACACGATTGCAATCGAATAATCTTCTTGAGTTCATATTTTCTTATTGTCGCCACTCTTAAGATAAAAATATCCCGGTATAAAGAACGGGAAACCATCACGCATTCTTGTAAAAAATAAAGAAGATCTATGAGGGAAAGACAGACATATTTTCCTCATAAATAACGGTAACTTTCGACGATTCAAATAAAATTCTTCGATAAAGTATATGATATGCGGGTACAACGGTCAGGAGGAAGTATACATCATCAGAAAGCGGGCTTTTGATTCCACGACTGAGCTGGGTGATATACGTCGGGCGTAGCAACACCTGCGGCAGTAAAAGAATTATTCTGTACGATGCATTCAAGAGAGCGTGCATGGACGGGGGAAGCTTAGCTGACACGCGGCTGCGACCGCTCGTAAATTTCACGGAAGATCGTTAAAGTCGTGTAAATCGGTTTTGCGGAGCGACCTCGCGTAGCTCGTCTATGAACGCGACATGACTCTGTTATCGCTTGAAAACCCCCTTGCTGTTTCAGACGCGGCTGGAACCGGAAGTAAAGATCGCGGGATACGCGATTAGAGTTACGCGGAGTATCGATACACAAATATCCTCACGATCGCATCGAAAATCGCATGCGAACGCTCGTACAAAAATTAATTAGGCGAAAGCAGTAAATATAAATAAGAAGCAAAAATGTGTTCTTATTTCCATTGCTATATATATGTACTCACGAACTTTTCTGTTCTACACATAAATAAAGCTTGTTATATTATGAGTTTCATAATGTGACCTTTTTAATATACATTGATATTTGCTTGATTTGTAATCACCGCAGTAGCCTTAAATTCTGCGAAATACCTACGAGTTAAATTTTTGAAACAAATTGATATTAAACTAAGGTACAAAACCAGACATAATACTCTTATTTCCTACGAAAGAATTAAACATTTTATTCTTTCATTAATTATACACTTATAATTTTATTCTAAATATATCGTAGTACTTCTCGATTTATACATTTTCTATACATGTAGAATTATTTATTTACCACATTAATTTAATGGAAGATTAATTTGTACTTGAATGTACACACTTTTATTAATAAATATTTTTTTTACTGAAATAGAATATTATACTAAAATATAAAATATAAAATATAAAATATATAAAATATTATACTAAAATATAAAAATAGAATATATCGCATTATACACATCTTGGAATAAAAACTTGTCTTTTTCCGTACAAGGTTACGATCTGAATTAATTATTTAGGATATTCGTCGAAACTTCATTTAAATGTAAAGAAGGCCAAAGTTTTATAAATCAGAGAGGGAAAAAAGACTGTTTACTAAACAGAAACATGAAAATAAATGAGATGAAAGTTCGAGAGTTCGAGAGACCAGATGCCTATATATACGCTTGATCAATTGACAGGCATCAGTCTTGATACACATCTTGATACACATCATATCGTACAATTGCTAGGGCTGTTCTCTGACAGTGAAAGTTTGTAAGAAAAACTCTTTTAATTTGGATAATGTTTAATGCAATCTTTTCTTTTACGGTAATAGCAACATGTGTTGCTATAACTGTAGCGGACGTACGTAAGTAAATATTAAATGTAAAAATTTGATTCGTTTAACAACTAAACTTCTGTCTTTTTATACAACGATTTACGAAATTGATAAACTATTTTAAAAAATTAGGATTTTATTAATTTAGAATCTTCAATGTTCTCCCTCAAAATATACAAGTAATAAAACAACAGTTTATATGTAATACATATGTATATGTTCTAGATGCTCGTTATCTCTTTATCTCTTTTTATTATTATGTTAAATACTATTATAACATTTTTTAAATAGTTAATTACATTAAACTTCTTTTATCTTAAATTGTTTAATTTTATTTTTGCAAATTAATGAAAATAATTTAACAGCTTCCCTCATTGATCATGTATGTGGCCGCAACGATTCCAACTATAATCAGTGCATCGCGGACAACATTATCTATTTGAAGGACAAAATTTGCCACGGGACTCTTCCGGGTTTTGCAATGATTGAGCCATTAATGTTTGACAAAATTGTCATTTTCGACGAACCTAATGTCAAACTGTATGTTCAAAACGTAGAGGCATATGGAAATTGCGACTTTGTTATAACCTCCATTAATGTGGATCCCGACAGGCTCCACTT